TACCTCCCTTTTAGGTGGAAAACCACATTTGAATTCAGAACTGCTCACAGCTGAAATGAAATGCTAATCTCACCCCACGTTTTATTCTTTCCTGTTCTCGCTGCTCTCTGGGTTCACCATATGCCGTAGCTATCGCAGAGTTCCAGGAAAGCATTCCGGTTCCAGAAGGAGCACAGTGCTCAGCCTTAAAACCAAAAATTAGCGATAATTCACATTAAATTGCGTCACGTCGAATTGCGTCCAACTATGTACGTAATTATACATGCTGATGTGTGTGTAATAAAGATTAGATACAGTTTTAATGCTGTTGTGTGCATTAAATCAGAGCTTGTGTGTGTGGTGAGTGTGCGTCTGTGATAATGTTTCTATTACTGGTTTGCCTTCATAAATATTAATGTGAAACATGCTGACCTTAATTTCAATTCTGTCTGCTGGAAAATCTCTCCCCTCTCACCCACTCACTAACTTACTGAGAGGGACAATAGAAGTAGACAGTGCCGACAAACCCTCATTATGCTGTTTTTTTCTCCAGGATGGAAAGATAGTTGAATGAATGGATGAGTAGATGAATAAATAGATGATGTAGGTGAATGAGTATAATATATTTAGGTATAAGAGTATAATATATTTATATTCAACTGATTTATAATCAAATCAGTTGAAAGCAGATGATGTTTTCATTTCGTTGAGATCCTTAAGTGTGGTGTGGGTGCCAAAATTCAGTTTAACGTCCCATGAGAGAAGGCGTGTGATTGGCTGATTACCATCAGTGCAGTGACTATAATTTTCACAACCGAAATTGGTCTGAATAGGTCAAACTAGTAGAAATGGACAAAATAAAAACTAAACAATTAAATTAAACCACCTGGGAATCAAAATCTGACAGTGAAACATTTTTAAGCAAACAAATGTTAAATGAAAGATTCACCTCCATGTCTGTTATTATGCAAAAAAAAAAAAAAAAAAAAAAACACGATCAGGAGTTTCAACAACATACTTTTATGTAGGTTGGTTAATAAATAGTATAATAGGTCAAAATTATTCAACCCCCATTGCAAATCAGTTTTATTGACAAAATGTACAAACTTTCAGCTGTTTGCAATGAACAAATTAAACAAAAGTAATGGAAAAAGCTCAACACAACAAACGTTTTAAGTGGTTTCCCCAAATTCAACTAAAAATGCAACTTTTAATGACTTCTACAGTCTCAGAATTATTCAACCCCCTGAATAGAATCCCACACAACAGTACAAATTTGCAAAAAAAAGGTGTTGTCTCAAGCATACCTGATGCAACTAATCAAGGGCTTCATTAGTTGCAACAGGTGTGCTTGAGCTAGAACACATGAAATATCTGAACTGTCTAGGTTTGTTGAGTGTCACATTTGACTGCATGTTAGAAAAATGGTCCAAAAAGTTAAGAGAAGATATAATCGCCCTTCACAAACAAGAAACAGGATGCAAAATATAGCGAAGGCACTTAATGTTCCTAGTGAGTGACACAATTGAAAGTTAAAGGAACAGTGGTTACACTGCCTGAATGGAGCAGAAAAAGGAATGCATCAACCGCTGCAACCAGATTTCTGAGAAGGCAGCATGCAAGACTTGGTGGCAACAGGCACTGAGGTTTCAGCTTACACAGTAAGGCGCGTACTAAACTCATGCGGTTTCCTGGCCAGAACTCCAAGACGTACACCACTACTGACCCAAAAGCACAAGAAAAGTGCTCAAAATCATATAAATAATCCACAGAAGTTTTAGGATTCTGTTCTGTGGAGCCATGAAACAAAACTGGAACTTTTCAGCCCTATGGATCAGCGGTATGTCTGGAGGAAGAAGAATGAAACAAAACAAAAAAGAACACAATGCTGAAAAGAACACTCTGTCTGCAGTTAAGCATGGTGGTGTCTCGGTGAAGCTCTGGGTCTGCTTTGCGGCCACTTTGCATCCTCTGGCACTGGAAACCTGCAGCATGTGGAAGGCAAGATGGATTCATTGAAGTATCAGGAAATCTGTCATGCCGTCAGTGAGGAATCTGAAGCTTGGGCGTCATTGGACCTTCCTGCAGGACAATAATTCCTAACCTAAGCATACCTCAAATTCCACCAAGGCTTGGTTGCAGAAGAGGTCCTGGAAGATTCTACTGTGGCATCCCAGTCACCTGACTTGAACCCCATAGAAAATATCTGGTGGAATTTGAAGAAGCGTTGCAGCACGCAAACCCAAGAATATTACTTAACTGGAGGCCATTGCTCATGAGGAATGGGCTAAGATTTCTCAGAAGCTGGTGTCTGGTTATACATCTCATTTGCAGCAGGTCATAACAGCAAAAGGGTGTTCTACTAAGTACTATAGATGCATTAAAAGTTGCATTTTCAGGTGAATTTGGGGAAACCACTTAAAACATTTGTTGTGTTAAGCTATTTCAATTACTTTTGTTTGATTGTTCATTGCAAACAGCTGAAAGTCTGTAAACTTTGCCAATAAACCTGATTTGCAATGGGGGTTGAATAATTTTTTTAATTACAACTGTACATCAAAATAGCCTATTATAAAATTGTTTGCTTGATGATAGTGTGAAGTAAATATTGTTCTATAAGCCTTTAACCAGAAAGCTGCATAATCATTACAACAGGGAGAATGATTTCCGTTGTACTCAAATTCTCAACCGCAGCTAGGGGACTTTGCTTCCGCATTTCAGAAGACCACCACTTGCTACTGAGTTGGTCCAACTGTAAAATGCACTTAAGTTGATCTAAAGAAACTTCTAAAGCATGCTGGGAATTTTCACTGGCTCTAACCATGGGGTGGAACAAACTATCCACATCTAATTGCTGAGAGTGTTTGTCAACTCTCAAATGAAAGTTGTCTTGCTCCGTTCACAGCCATACAAAGTGTTATTCATCTGAATGCTCTTATGAACAGACTAACAATCTGTCTGTTTGTTAGTTGTATATCTGGAATAAAAATTTACCCCCAACCTCTTGACTGCATCCCATAAGCATCCCAAAAAGAAAGAATACCCAGACTGTACCTTCCTCTGTTTGTGTGTGTGTGTGTGTGTGTGTGTGTGTGTGTGTATTCAGGTTTCTAAATGATATCTTCTGCATGCTCAGATGCTCCTGAGCGGGTGGCGACACCCCCAGAGGAAGCTGATTGACAGCTTGGCAGTGATAGCAGGAGTGATGCTGGGAGTAGAGAAAGTGAGGGGGAGCAAATGGAAAAAGAGAAAGAATAAGATGATTCATATAGACAAGAATTGTGTGGATTTATACTTATGGTTGGACCTAAATCTGAAGTTTTTTTTGGAAGGAGTGAAGTCTTTTGTGATTTTGTCTTTAAATCCACAAACACAAATCAACAAAACGTGATTTTCATGATGCACTGATCTTTTTCCCTGTTTTGTGAAACACACTGTTAAAATTATATTTTAAAGAAAAGAAAAGTAGGTAGATCATGCATCCTGTGTTGTTTTGATCCTATGTTTTTCAAATGTTCTATATAGATTTTGATTCCAAAATGCGAGTTATAGATCCCTTTAAAGTTTGGTAGAACCAAGTTTTTTATGTTAAAAACACGACACACGTGGCAGTGGAACAGAAAAAAAACATAAGGTCTATATACATTCATTTTTTAAAGGAAGGAAGGAAGGAAATTATTTTATTTGAAACAGGGACAATGCACAATGAACATTAAACTTGTTAAACAAGAGAATATGTCTTGGGCCAGGTTGTAGCAACATTTGCTAATTTGCACCTGTAGTCCCTGGGCAGGTATAACAAATTTAAAATTTAAAATAAAATTGCACATGAGTTTGAAAAGAGTGATGTCCATCATACAGGTATACAGATTAACAATACAGAAACAGGGAGACCATCAGCCTATTTACTCTCGGTAAAAGTTGAATAAAAGTTGAATTACTTCTAACTTGAGCGGCACGTTTTCTAGAACGACGTGCCATGCGCAAGATGCGAACACAATGGTCAAACACATCCGTCTAGCGCATGTTTACACAGAAAAACAATGAAAAAATAGCACAGTGGAATGCAAAAATGTGTTCTCTAAGAGTGTTGAAATCACAGCATCGCTGTAAAATCTTGTGATTCAATGATCGTGATCTGATTTTAGATTCTCTTTGGTTTTGCATAAAATGAGTATGTTCTGTGGTCCTTACATTTATTTGAACAACTGTTTGACAATAGTGAATTTACAATATCAAAAGGATATTATTACATCTTTAAGAGTGTAAATGACATGAGAAATAAATGAGAAATTTGTAGTATTTGTTAAGCTTATTGAGATGCAGTGGATTAATTGCCCTGGATTTGTATTGTCAGTGCTACTAGACAGCGACGTATGCAGCATAAGACTATAAACGCAGAAGTCATTAACACATTGAAGCAAACAAAACAAAACACAATCTGTTGTTCAACTAATGGAGTTTTCAGGAGAAAATAAGGAGAGCTGTTTTGCTCTGATAAATGTCTTGTGTGCAACACTATACATCAACACTAATTCTAGAAGAAAATGTAGGCTAATTTAATTAAAGTTCAATGAGGATTTACTTTTTTAAACCGATGAAATGAACCTGTCACAAGTGCAAAAATAAATCCTGCTTGATTTGCCATGCGAGTTCAGCTCAGTCAGATGCAGAAAAACAAGAATTGGATCAATATTTTCAACTTTGACAGAGTCAGATAAGAGCTAAAGTTTTACTTTCACCAGTTTTATCCAGTTTTGGATGTGAGAAAAGATAGAGACAGGATTCCAAACACAGTGATGTGCGTCAGTGGGTGGAAATAATGAATGCAACTCAACTCTGTCTTCACAAAACTAAAGTTTTCTATTGAAACGTAAAGTCTTAAAAAAAGAGTGGTGCATCTTTCTGAACCCCTGTGTTCCACAATACTTCAAGTTCTCGCTGTAACTCTGACTGTAATGTATGTGAGGCTCTAAAACACGTGTCATCTTTGTTATGCTGTTCATATCCACTTCTCTCAGGTGCCAAAGAGGTGAATGCCAGTGGCAAGACATTCACAGTGAAGAGTTCCCTGCGGCTCCAGGTGGACCGCCAGGATGACGGTGTGGCCTACACTTGTAGAGTGGACCATGTGGCCCTGACTGCCACCCACGAAGACACTACGCAGGTCTTGGAGGTCCACTGTGAGTATGGCTGGGTCCCAACTAGCCAGCATCCCATGATGCTCACATCCATATTCCTTGCTTAAACATGTACCTTCAAGGGTTAGTTCACCCAGAAATGAAAATTCTGTCATCATTTACTCACCTTCATGTCGTTTCAAACCCGTAAGACTTTCGTTCATCTTTGGAACACAAATGAAGATTAATTAAATCTGAGAGATTTCTGTCCCTCCATTGACAGTCTATGCAACTACCCCTTTGATGCTTCAAAAAGTTCATGAAGAGATAATCCACATGAATCGAGCAGTTTAGTCCAAATTTTCTGAAGAGACACGATCGCTTTATATGACGAACAAATTGAATTTAGGCTTTTATTCACATGTAAACATTGATCAGCGAACATAAACAAAAGCTCAACAGTATTTGCTTGTTGCACGAAAACAAACCTCATTAGTTCTTGCAGAAGTTCAGACGTGCTGCGTACGACGAGAATGAACCTCATTGGTTCTCACACTTCAAGCAAGCGTGATTGAGCGTCCGTTTACCACAGCTGATGTGTGAGTTGATGAATGTTTAAATGTGACTAAAAGCCTATATTAAACATGGTGAGTCAAGTCAAGTCAAGTCATCTTCATTTATATAGCGCTTGTTTCAAAGCAGCTTTACAGAGATAAACATACAATTTACGGTAACAGAGATTGTTTTGAGTAAATGATGACCCCATAAAAATGCTTAATGAGTGCAATTTTCTGTCTTATGTTGACATTTTTATTGAAACAGGAAGTTTGGACTAGACATATTAAAGGTATAATTTCTTTTCGCAAATGATAAAGACTTTAAATGTTAAAAATGTATTTGTTTAGGGTTATTTTTGGTGACTTTTAGGAGTAAAATTGTATGTTATCTAAGCTAAAAGACATACTAGAAGCCATAAAACACTTAATTTGGATTACATTGGGAGTTAACTAATTAAAGTTGGTATATGGTGGTAAAGCAAAAACTATGCACAGTGATTACAGAAAAATGTCATTTACAAGTTCGAGTTTCTCTTTGAAGCTTTGACATTTTATCAATTTAGTGAGACGCAGTGGAGCATTTGAGCTGAGTAAAGTCACATCACTTACCTTTTGATCTCCATAGAGTGTCATTCCTCCGCTTGGATGCTGTCTGAAACAATATTTCTTTGTTCTTCTCTCTGTCTCTGTTATAGATGCTCCCATTGTAAACATCATACACTCCGCAACCCTCCCACAGGAGGGGCAGTACCTGAAACTGGAATGTGTACCTCAAGGAAACCCCTCGTAAGCATCCACAATTTATCAGCATCTCGCTGAATTATAATGTTTGCAAAGAGCTTTGGGAAGATGCGTTGCATATCTACTGCACCAAGGAGAAATTGCCCTGTGGGCAGGCCTACAGCTAGCGGCTTATAACCACATGCTTGCATTAATGTGATGACTCATAAATTTGATTCTGTTGAAATTAAACAGCTATGAATAAATAAGAATAAATTCACATGGAAAACAACATTAAGAAGCTCTTATCTATTGGTACAAGTGAAGCTAAAATAAGGCCAATACTTTATATAATTTCCGAACAAAAGGGTTGACAAATATTTGATAAACTTTGATAATACGGATAGCTTAGAACTGTTTTATGTTTGAAACTAAAGTTGAAAACTTTAAAACTCTCTCTATGATTTGTGTATTCTCAAAGACATTGCTGTAACTTTGTGGTGTTGTTTTCCATTGATTGTAGCATTAAAGGGGTCATATCATAAAGAATCCAATTTTCCTTGATCTTTTGAGATCAAGGAGAGGAGATCTTTTGAGAAAAGTCTTCATTGTACTAGGAAAACGTACTAACTTTCAGAACTCAAAAACTTTTCCCTGTCAAAGAGACTAACTGTTGTTGACACTTAAAGGAATAGTTCACCCAAAAATGAAAATTCTGTCATCATTTACTCACCTTCAAGTTGTTCCAAACCTGTATACATTTCTTTGTTCTGTTGGACACAAAGGAAGATATTTTAAAGAATGTGGGAAACTGAACAGTTCTGGGGCACCATTGACTTCCATAGTATATATTTTTTTAGTCAGTGGTGCCCCAAAGCGGCCTGGTTACAAACTTTCTTCAAAATATCTTCCTTTGTGTTCAGCAGAACAAAGAAATGTATACAGGTTTGGAACAACTTGAAGGTGAGTAAATGATGACAGAATTTTTATTTTTGGGTGAACTATCTCTTTAAGCCGCAAAAAATGGCCTGTTCTGTATTTCCATGTACTGTATTCCGATATCAGACAAATACATTTGAATACATGCAAACACATGACCACTCATATTTACGTAAAAGAACGCCTATTTGGTGTTCAGATACTCAGTCACAGTGATCTAAGAATGAGGAACAAGAATAGATGCTATTATGTCTGCCAAACCTTGTGTTGTTTCTGGCTGTGTGTATCATCTACAGCTCTGCAGATCCTAAAGTGCAAAATGTGGTTATCGAAGGATGGGAAATAAAATAAAATAAAAATTAATTAAATTATAAAAAGGCTATAATAATGCTTTATATTAGAAGCTAAATACCAGTGTTTCACCAGGCCAGACCCAGTACGCTGGACTAAAGACGGAGGAGAGCTGCCAGACCTGGACCATATGATTGTCGAAGGAAGAGAACTCACCTTCACGTCACTGAACAAAACAGATAACGGCACCTACCGCTGTGAAGCCACCAATCACCTCGGCACCAGTCATGCTGAATATAAGCTGGTTATTTATGGTGAGTGACAGAGAAACTTCTGAGTAACATGTTAAGCAAGCACAGCCCCTGCAGAAAGCATCTGTATCGCTTATCAAACCTACGTTTCTACCCTGCTAGTAACTGTCTTTTTTATAGTGAAGCACTTGAAAGCTGCAATGCCTTTTTAATGATTGCTGGCTTGATGGATCAACCATATCTAGCTTAAAGGGATTGTTCGGCCAAAAATGAAAATTCATAATTTACTCATTTACTCACCTGACGTTTTATATCACAAAATAGATATTTTCAAGAATGTCAGTTGTTTTTGTTCATATTATGGAAATCAATGGAACCCCCAAATTTATACCCCCATATTTGATGTAGTCCTTGTATAAGCGAGTTTATTTTATTTTACAATACCTTTATGACTTTTATGGAACTCTAACTTTTTGGGTCTCATTGACTTTTATAATATGGGCAAAAGCTAGTATTATTAACAAGAGTAAATGATGATAGAATTTTCAATTTTGAATGAAATATTCCTTTAATTTAGTGATAATCTTTCAAAGACGTATAATCGCCTATGTATCATAAATATTGCACAAAAGAAGTGTACATATGCAGCAACCCACTTTTCTCTGTCGTTCTCTGACTTCGCTTAAGAAAATGAGTTTTACACACTTAGCATGACAGTAAAGCATGATGGGTCTCGATACAGCCTGAGGTTCAGAGGCTACACTGCGTCCACATCTGCCATCTCTTTCATCAGAGGCAGCTGTGCGGAAACGCTCACAGGCTAAGAACGGATATGACTGTGAGCGTCAAGCGGAAGAGTCTCCCCTGCCTTCTTGACACTAAACCCCTCCAGTCCGGAAAATTCCTCCTCAGGCTCTCCATTTCAGAAGTTACTTTTCTCTCACTTTCTCCTTCTACCTCGGCTTTTGTATCCTCCCACGGGCCATCTTAAGAAGATTTAATTAGCCGTTATGGTGCAGTGTAGGGGTCCAGTCAGTGGCTCATTGAAATGTCAGGACACTATAACAACAAGGAGAACCAAAGCTTTTAATGATGTTGATACTATAAAACTGACACCTTCTCTGTAGGAATAAAAAGCTAATTGGGTGTCACAAATATAAAGCACCATGTCTGAATTCATTACTGTCTTTTTAAATGGCAAAACATGATACCGTCCTTCCATCAGTGATTAGCACAAAACCCGGAGCAATATAATGGTCACTGTCCTTCATCAGATCACCTATCTTGTATTGTGCCAATTCCAAATGCAATATTACCTGTTCAATATGCAGCCGAATGCTTGATATTCCAGACAGAGGACTGCCATGTCAGTGGGGTACTTGAGAGGTAGGTATAGTCAATATTATTATTCAAATCTTACCCTTAATTAAAATTGGGCCATGACATTTAAATAAGATATTAGAGCAGGCCAATAGTATCTAGACTGTTTGAACAGGTTTGAACACTTTAATAATTCTCTATATCCCTCAACTAAAAAAAACAAGAGCCAAAATCTTATGATTTGCTATTTCCATAAGCTGTACTTTTAAAATGAGAGCAATTTTTGTTAAAAAGTTGGGGGGTTTTAAGGTGAATTTCTGCAGTACTAGTTCATCAAACAGAAAAGAATAATGAATGTTTTCAAAAGTATCCCAAACACTTCCACTATCTTTCATTGGTTGTTTAAACAAATAGCCACTCCCCAAACTCACCCTATTGGTTGATTTAGTGTTGCTATGTTGGGCTGGCCGGATGATCAAATAAACAAAGCAATGTTTTGAAAGCAACAGAGACTATGTTTATACTTTTTGGAGAAATCAGCCAATAAATGATTTACTTGTAGTCTCTGGGTTGGGTTGGGGGTTGGGGGTTGGGGGTTGGGGGGGGGGGTTCATCCAAAACATCACTCAAGCACTTCAACCATACAGAGAAATGCTTATGCTTATCTGTTAGATATTATTCAAGTCGTAATTTTTCTAGCAATAGAATCTTGTGCCAAATGACTTGCTCTTGAGAAATTATCAGCTACTGTGTGTATATGTTAAAGCTGAACATGTACCTAGCAGATCATTTCACAAGAGCAAGTAATTTTACACCGGATTTTATTATTAGAATGATAACGACTTGAATAATATCTTTTCACATTTCTCTGTATTGTTGAAGTGTTTCTCCATATCCCTGGGCAGGATACTGTTATGTGCTAATTAACTTTCAGGGGGGGGGGGTTTGTTTGTTCATTATTAAATGCATTATAAATAATGTTCTTTGGAAACAAAGACAAACTTTATCTGATCCTTTTCAAAAAACAAAAAAAACTCCCAAGGCTCCAGCCAAGCTAACAGTAGTGGTGTTTCATAAGGCAAAACTTTTACTATTGCTCTTACTTAGTGCTAGGCTTTTGTTGATATTCCTAACCTATACATATGAACAAATCCTTTTCAATAGTGAAAGAAATAAAGTTTGATGTGTAAGTCTTCCTGCACCATTTATGCAACAAATGTGAATGATACCTGGACAATAAACCAGCTGAAACAAATCTCATAGGAAGCCAATAAGTAATGACAATGCTCTAGCACTCATGACACCTTGGCAACAGCCTAACAATGCCTGAGTTTCACATGGCTCAATATCACTTACATTTTCCTCAGAGAATGCACAAGTCTAGCCTTGAGCTGCTGTTTACTAATGTCTGCCCTGGAACCTGTGCACTGTCTAATTTATAGTTAGCCAGAGCTGGTGGCTGCTGTGCAATTTTGAGCTACTGTATCAGTTAGATTACTCTGCTTGTCTGCTTGAGTCCATTAGTATGAAGGCAGACTGGTGATTTAGCTTATCAACTTGAGCCCAAAACTCCTCTCCTGTCCTTATCACTGCACTAAATATGCTTTATGCATGCAAAACGGCTGCCAGCATTACACTGTTTGTTGAACCAGTCACATTCAAGAGGCTTAAATGATACCTGCTGTTTTAAAAGCATAAATCACTCAAATTCAACTGCACCTTGAAATTATATAAGATTATGAGTGAACTTTGCATTTTAGCCTGGCCCCCTTTACTTAGAATATATATATATATATATATATATATATATATATATATATACACAGTGGGGAGAACAAGTATTTGATACACTGCCGATTTTGCAGGTTTTCCCACTTACAACGCATGTAGAAGTCTGTCATTTTTATCATAGGTACTCTTCAACTGTGAGTGACGAAATCTAACAAAAATCCAGAAAATCACATTGTATGATTTTTAAGTACATAAGTACTTACATAAGTGACATAAGTATTTGATATATCAGAAAAGCAGACCTTAATATTTGGTACAGAAACCTTTGTTTGCAATTACAGAGTTCATACTTTTCCTGTAGTTCTTGACCAGGTTTGCACACACTGCAGCAGGGATTTTGGCCCACTCCTCCATACAGACCATTCTCCAGATCCTTCAGGTTTCGGGGCTGTCGCTGGGCAATACAGACTTTCAGCTCCCTCCAAAGATTTTCTATTGGGTTCAGGTCTGGAGACTGGCTAGGCCACTCCAGGACCTTGAGATGCTTCTTACGGAGCCACTCCTTAGTTGCCCTGGCTGTGTGTTTCGGGTCGTTGTCATGCTGGAAGACCCAGCCACGACCCATCTTCAATGCTCTTACTGAGGGAAGGAGGTTGTTGGCCAAGATCTTGCGATGCATGGCCCCATCCATCCTCCCCTCAATACGGTGCAGTCGTCCTGTCCCCTTTGCAGAAAAGCATCCCCAAAGAATGATGTTTCCACCTCCATGCTTCACGGTTGGGATGGTGTTCTTGGGGTTGTACTCATCCTTCTTCCTCCAAATACGGCGGGTGGAGTTTAGACCAAAAAGCTCTATTTTTGTCTCATCAGACCACATGACCTTCTCCCATTCCTCCTCTGGATCATCCAGATGGTCATTGGCAAACTTCAGACGGGCCTGGACATGCGCTGGCTTGAGCAGGGGGACCTTGCGTGCGCTGCAGGATTTTAATCCATGACGGCGTAGTGTGTTACTAATGGTTTTCTTTGAGACTGTGGTCCCAGCTCTCTTCAGGTCATTGACCAGGTCCTGCCGTGTAGTTCTGGGCTGATCCCTCACCTTCCTCATGATCATTGATGCCCCACGAGGTGAGATCTTGCATGGAGCCCCAGACCGAGGGAGATTGACCGTCATCTTGAACTTCTTCCATTTTCTAATGATTGCGCCAACTGTTGTTGCCTTCTCACCAAGCTGCTTGCCTATTGTCCTGTAGCCCATCCCAGCCTTGTGCAGGTCTACAATTTTATCTGATGTCCTTACACAGCTCTCTGGTCCTGGCCATTGTGGAGAGGTTGGAGTCTGTTTGATTGAGTGTGTGGTGTCATTTATACAGGTAACGGGTTCAAACAGGTGCAGTTAATACAGGTAATGAGTGGAGAACAGGAGGGCTTCTTAGGCCCTGTCCACACGGACACGGGTATTTTTATAACCGTGACTTTTTTTACGCGGTTCGGCCGTTCGTCCACACGAAAACGCACTGAAACCGAACATTTTTGAAAACCCCTGCCAGGGTGAGGATTTTCAGAAACGCCGGTTACAGTGTTGTCGTGTAGACAGTGAAACCAGGGTTTTCGCCTTGCGACGTCGAAGTGTGCGCCGTTATCCGCTGTGTTTGACGTCAGATTTGCGCTTCTGATTGGCCAACGTGGCTTTACGGTTAAGGTTTATATCGCCGCCTGCTGGCGTAGCATGCTCTTGACCGCGCTTGATAGCATTTTTTGCGTTTTCATGTAGACGGAGACCGAGCATGTGTGGACGGGATTTTTTTTTTAAACGCTGTAGGAAAAACTCCTTTCTCTTAAAGAGAAACTAACAGGTCTGTGAGAGCCGAAATTCTTACTGGTTGGTAGGTGATCAAATACTTATGTCATGCAATAAAATGCAAATGAATTACTTAAAAATCATACAATGTAATTTTCTGGATTTTTGTTTACACATACAGATAGGTATAGTATAAAGACAGATTTAGTAGCATCTGCTCTTTTGCATTTTTAAAGATGCTCTAATATTGAGCTCTAGCTGCCCTGATATAAGGATATATTATTAGGAACAAAGCGCTTGTTACGGTGATTGTTCTTTACATTTTATCCATCATTTCAGCAGTGCAGACCGCTTTTGATATTACATCAAATATTGATGCTTTTCTCTTTTCTACCATTTTTGTGATATATAATGATATATTATACGCAAACCAAACCCATTATCCATAAACATCATAAAGAAAGACATACATTTCTGGAATGTCAGGTGTTCTGTACATGCTTTTTTTTTCAATAGTTTATTCATGTGTGCATTGTTAAATGAAACCCATTCAGTTTTTATTTGCATTGTGTCAGCATACAACTATTGTTTCATTTGTTCCATTGTTATAGTAATTTCTTCCCCCTTGTCATTGTTGTTTTGTCTTTTGTCCGTCCCTTTCTGTTTACATGTTTGTTGTCATTGTTTTTTGTTGCGTATATGACAGATGCCCCCACCACACCGTCACCATCCACAACCTCCCCTGCACCCACCCTCCCAGACACTACAGGTCCCTTAGACTCCAAGAATCTCAATTCTGCTGTCACCGGTAACAGAGGTACTGTACAACCCCACTGCCCTTCCTCCTCATCCTCCTCACGCACTTCCCTCTCCATCTCTTTATCTCTCTTTCTTCTCCCCAAGCTGGTTTCCTCTGACTCGAGTCTGCAGCTCCAAGGACATCTGGAGAGAAGTGTTTTTGTACCCTGCAGTCACTCTGTGTGTCCTCGCTTAGTTCATATCTCTTCCATTCACCATTCCCTTGTGTTCTAACTATGATTTCTAGCATCTCAACTGTGACAGTTTGAGCCCTTTGTGTGTCTTTATCTTTTTTCAACCCATCTTATTAAAGGTATGAATCAACAAAATAATACAAAATGCGTCATTGTTTATTCACGCTAGTGTCGTTTCAAACCTGTATGCTGTTATTTTTTTCCATTGAACTCAAAAGGAGAATTTATGAATCTTTACAGAAATTCCCCTTTGCTGAAGCTCTTAAAAAAGTTGTTTAGACACCAGTACATCTAAGCCTGGTTTCACCTTGGTAAAGCAAAATACCAATCAGGGCTTGGTGCTTACTTTTTTCCCAAGAAGCACATGTGAAAAGTTGAAACATTTAGGAGAGCAATTAAAAACTTTAGGGGTGCCGAAAATAATTATCAAATAGAATAATTGTTATAAACAGATACTAGTACAATACTATAAAATCTATACAGTATATTGAATAATATGTTAAATCATGTTTTGTCCGCTGCTCAATCAAAAAGATAAAATATGCTCTCTTACAGCAATCTACCACATAATATAATACAAACACCATAGAGTAAACATTGTCGTAATTCATCAGCAGTAGATCCCAAGCATAACCACATGGTATTAATTGCTTTTAACTGCTCTAAACCCCAAGACTGTAGAATGCATTTTGATTTGAAACATACAGTGCTACTGCTCGCATTTATTTGATGAAATCATAGCCTTTTGAAGTTTAATCACATTAGGCCGTGAATCATGATTCACGTTTTTTCATTCCCAAATTTAAGCCCTCTTAAAATAATAATTCAGACGTTTGATATACCATTTAAGATATTTAAGACTTTTTTATGACCTGCGGGGACTTTTGCACACATGCTCCTAAATACATTTTACAGTTTGCACACATCTATTTTTAGTCGCAAATGCGTTTTGAGAGTTTTGAGCCTTCCCACTGGTTCTTACATGTCGTATATCACAATGTCAAACAGCATATGGGTTTGGGACAAGTTTTGGGGGTGAGTAAATGGTCACCTTAACTATCCTCTACCCTGGAGTTTATGCATCTTTAGAGGATCTGGACAACGGTTCCCATCAGTTAAGTACCTAGACAGCAAGCCTGGAGGCATATCATGTGGCATAAGTGTTCTTTAGCTCCTAGCCGTGAATGTCCGGTCTCAGGGGTATCAGGGTCTGTTTTGTTTCTTGTTTATGAATGCTTCAGCTAAATATAGACAGTGTGATTTATAAGGCGAAAATAAAACATTTCGCAATCCCTGTGGACTCTCCAAAGGGTCGTTTGAATGTCTACCTATTTTTGTGCCACTTGTGAGGGGTACAGCCCTGTTGGTGCAACTTTGAGGGAAGTTTTTGCACAAAAACAAAATGGCTGTGTTTGTATTGTATCAAGGTAGCATCACCGTTTCTTTCTTCAAAGTGGCTTACTTGCTTAAATTTGAGGATTACTTGAACTAAACATGGAATTTTGTAGAAGATCAAAGTTTATCCTGCATCTGTATGTTATCAGCAGGCTGACTATTCCAAAGGATATCCCAGTTATATGCCAGGTTATGCTGGAATTATCCTTTAACTGCATTGTGTTTACAACCAGAGTCAACCAGAATGCAATCAGCGATTTGTTAAAAAATACCACACATACGTATGCCTTCCGTCGAAGCGAATTTTTTCTCTGAGCTTGTAATGCTGAACGTCTGCAGTGTTAACAGATCTTATTTCTCTAAATGCATTAGCAGCTCATTCTCCTGCCTGCGATCAATGGGGGCGTACCAGCGGCGAATTTCTGGCCTCATCGTTCTGCCAGGCTTAATGGGAATAATAACTCTTCCTCAAAGAAACACAGGGCCCTGACGATGCCATCAGTGTGCCTCCCGTCCCTGTTAAATCTGCCAAATGCGTTTTTATGGCTTGCAAATTAGCTCTGACCTTATGAAGCTGAAAGGTTGAATAAAGTACTGGGGATGCTGAGAATTTTAAAATATTTACAGCTCACTTTTCATAATCAGCATGAAAGCGCCCTGCCGTAGACCCCTGCGCTATTATTGTCCCACTGAGACACTTTTACAGGGATAAAGATTGGTCATGCCTTTTGTCTTTGGACAGGGAGAGGAAAGTGCAGAAATTTATCTGTTTTAGGGAGGGTCTGGGTTTAGGTTCATTAGCCAAGGCCAGAAATGAAAGGGAGGACAACAAAGTGCAGCAGTTTTGCAAAATTATTACAAAACTTTTTAAACTTGTCCAGCGTCTGCCAAGAATTATTCGGCTTAATTGGATTTAACTCCAGGACATAAACAGAGAAGGGTCTATCGTGGAAGTACTGAAGTTTTTGAAGCTTTGAAATATGTTGGCTTGGAAAAAAAACCCAATTATTTCGAATTATGTCCTATTATTTCCGCTGTAGGTTACTGTGGATTCCTCCAAGACCCTTTGTCAAAAGAGACACGTTATACATGGAAACGACTAGCCTCCTGCAAGGAGTCTCTCAGTGTGTAGTGGAACATATGTTTCTTGAAGCGTTGACCAGAAGCCTAGCAATTACTCAACATGGCCACACCACAGGAGCATAATGGGCCGACGTGGGCCTGTCAGTTGTGGCCTGGATACTGCCTCGTTCATGGGCTGTAGTCCCAGTAAGAAGCAAACAAATGAGCAATCCTCAGAGAATCATTTGCAAGTTCTAACACTTTGTTCCTGGTCTGCAAACAACGCATGCCGCCTTGGAATGCTTTGTTCATCCAATTAGTGCTTTATGAGAAGTCTAGAGCCATGTTTTAGATTCTTGAGTTATTCCTTCAAGTCATGTGAACACTTAGAGCTACGTATGTGTGAATCGCAAAACGAGGGTTATCACGATTCAGCGCGATTAAAATTACGGAGGAGCCCTGATGATTTTTAAGGCTTTTTATAGACTGCCAGTAAAAATGTTGCATGGTATACAACCTTAAACCTAATACAGTTTAAGAGAACTAAGGGGGAAACAAATTATTTTATATTGTTCCTTAATGCGTTTGACATCCCATGCATAAGAGATTGAAAGGATTGTGTTCTGGTTTGGTTAGCAAAAAGCAAAAAAGTGCACAAGCCTGTAATTTTATGATTGAAGCAAAGTGATGGAGAGAAATTACAGTACCGGTATATTGTAACTTTTTTTCCTAACAAACATTTTTTTGAAAAAGGGACTAAGAACAAGAAGTCTTTTGAATTTATGAGTGCAATGTAGGCTTGCAAATATCAACAGTTTGGTTAAATTTCTTTCTGAAATTTGAATGAATTTTGCCAGATAATCTCAAATATGTTCCCGTAATAATTAGCACAACAAAATAATTTTATGATTGTGTGATCATCACCGTTATGTGTGATGGCAAAGCGTACACACCCAGGGGTGCAGCGACAATCTGAAATGTTGGAGGGACACATTATAAACCTTATCAGCTTGGCTCATGAATATTAATTAGGTGACTTAACATTTGTCCTTGCTAAATAGCAGGTAAGTGAACGCTATAGTAAATTACCACTTACACAGAGTCTTAATGTCTTTAAATTATAGGCAGCTGCAATTTTCTTTCTTAAAATATAATTATTATTTCCCAAAAAGTGGAGAGGGCACACTTTGAAATATCTAAAAGCGTTATAATATTTGCAGTGCTCCTGGGTACAATCCATCTCTTCAGTTTCACAGACAGTTATCCTGTCTCAATTGACGATAATCATTACAATTGCTTTAGAGACATATATCCAGAAAATGAATCCCGAATAGGGTTTTCGAAAGTGTAGAGTGAGGATTTCATCTTGGAAATCATTCATCCTGCTTCTTATTCTCAATAGAAGGATTAAAATGATTTCGAAATTCATATCAATGAACATCTTAGAATTATTGATTTGAACTCCAAGAAAGGTATGTTCCAGGATGAAAAAGCTTTTCCTCAGAGGGGCTGCCAGAGAACACCAGCAACAAAAAAAAACCATCTCTGTTTAAATGGCTAAGTCAAAGTTTCAGCTGTTTCAGCTGCCGTGTCCCTGGAGGGTCAGTTAAATATTGAGACTGGAGTCCTGAGCGCCCTCCTTTCTCTCCTTTCTGAAAATGACACAACACAGGATGAATTAAAATGTAATGCAAAGGTCTTTTTCCTCGGTCACGCAGCACGGTTATTGATGATCTGTCACATTAAGTCATGTCGAGGGAAGACTTATGGTAACAATTTAAAATATAACAGGAAAGGGAAAAAAGAAAAATCATTAAACTCTGCCATCGAATATGAATTACGAATAAGACTCTCTTCATTCATTTAGTTTCCGTGGAAAGGAGACACTTTAAGTAATCCTCTGGAAGCCTTGAGCTGCTTTAATTTGCCGAAATAACCACTCTCGCCATTTCCCAGCATTCACTGCTGATCAAGTTTGAAGCATGACAGCCTAATTATGAATGTTACGGTGTAAAGTCTCCAAATCATTCAGTATCTTGCCTGCTCGTGCCTCTCGGTGGAGAACACCTGTATTTGTTTTCTTTTTCACCCTATTTGGGTTCAATCATTGTGTCTCTCTCCAGGCTCACTTTTTCAAGCACAATTAGAAGCTGTAATTTGTTTTGAAAATCTAATTAAACCACGCTGACCAACTCAGCGGTCACCTTTGCCCCCGTTTGGCTTTAGATCAACTCTCAAGAGCATCCGGTATGTAAATCAGCCCTCTAAAGATTCACGGGTCATTTAAGAGGCTGCTGTGCTGGGCAAAGGGATGTGAAAGATGGACAACGAGCATTTAGCCTTTTTTTCCCCCTTTCTGCGTGGATGG